ATACAGTCAAAATGCTTAAAAAATAACTGAAATAAAATTTAGATATACTTGATGTACAAAGTAATAAAATGAAGTAAAATAGTTTTACAGTTTATATTTTGAAAAGACAAAATAAGTCTTAAAAAAGGAAAAATAAACCTTTTGTTACGAAACTCGCAGAAAACAGTGTGAAGTCTTGTCATCGAGAACCCTTTTTTTAAATAATTTCATGAGACTCATATTTTATTCATTACTTATTATATTTTTCAATATAATTAGTCGTGTTATTTGGAAGGAGCATAACATAAACATAACATATATATATATATATATATATATATATATATATATATATATATATATATATATATATATATATATATATATATATATATATATATATATATATATATATATATATATATATATATATATATATATATATATATATATATATATATATATATATATATATATATATATACATATATATATATATATATATATATATATATATATATATATATATATATATATATATATATATATATATATATATATATATATATATATATATATATATATATATATATATATATATATATATATTCATACTTGCTTATATATTTAAGTTTTGGATTTTTTTTTGGACATTTTGATATTTGAATTACTGATAAGATATTAGAAAATTTCCATATAACTTCTTGCATCTTAGAGTTTTTTAAGATTAGCTTTTAAGGAATTTATATTTTTCAGGAGGGATATTGAGGAATTTTTTGGTATTTATTTGTTATAGAAGTAAGAACCACGATATGCTATAAAAAATTGGGATAGTTTTTTTTTTTAAGGGTACTATATAATTTCCAGTTGCTCTAGTACTAAATTTATTTATATTAGTTTTGAAAAATTTATTTATAAATTGACTTGGAACAGTTCCCTCTTTATGTTTAAACATAAAAAAAATATTTTGATATATATTGACTTGGTAAATGTTTAAAGCATTCATCTGTTTTAGTAATGGATTTGCATGAGTCTGTTTTTATAAAATATAATTCTTGAAGCGAGTTTCTGCAGACTATAGAGTGAACTTAATTTAGTTTTATGGGTACTTGCCCATGCTATGTTGGCCTATGATAAATAGCTGTATATAAAGAAAAAATAAAGAAGTTTTAAATTTTTGAACGATAGATGATTTCTTGCTTTATAGAGTAGTACAATATTTTTTGAGATTTTTGTATTAATGGTATTTATGTGAGAGTTATAAATTAATAAATTGATAAATTCTCGTCAAGAATCACAGCAAGAAATTTAGATGATTGAGTTTGTTCAATAATTGTGTTGTCTTTATTAAGAGTTGGTAAAATTGATGGGGTAGCTTTTTTTTTTGGTTGGGGTGAAATAAGATGTATTTAGATTTATTTAAGTTTAATGACAATTTGTTAGCTCTGAACTTTTTTAGTGGTATTGCGTGGTCTACTGTGTCAAACGTCTTTGTAAAATCAATAAAGACTCCTAATACAAATTTTTCATCATTAAAGGAAGTGGTAGTGTTATTATTGAGGTCTAGGATAACATGTTCCGTTGAATGTTGCGTTTAAAATCCGTATTGATTGTCACTTATGATTTTGTGTTCTATTAAATGTTTATACAATCTGTTGTAAATTATTCTTTCAAGGAGTTTAGAAAATATAGGAAGAATTGAGATTGGTCTATAATTTTTTATTGCAGATCTATCTCCACCTTTAAATATAGGTACAATTTTTGCAATTTTTAATTTGTCTGGGACAGTCCTGTTTTTGATTGAAGAGCTGAAGATACTCATAAGTTATTATTATTGTAATGTTCTATTGTTTCTCTCAAAAGAAATTCTGCATGAAGCGTTAAGCTATTTTTCTTGAAATCAAATTGATGAGAGTGGCTATCTAATATTTCCAAACATAATTGCGTAATAATAATATTCAAAGAGTTTTTTCAAAATAGGTATGATACTAATTCCGCCATTGTTATATGGATCATCAAGAGATTTCTTATAAGATTATTGGAACTTTTAATACGACGAGCGGAACCATAATTGAAGCTGATAAGTACTATGGGACCACTTCATTATTAAAGATATTATTATAAAACTTCGAAAGCTATATTGGTTGGTTGTTGTAAAAGGTGTATTTAAGATGTATGCACTAATACAAGAAACACGCAATTTATTTAAAATAAGTTAATATTCGTTTAATACAATACAAGTATCGATGTCGCAAACTGATTAGAGTTTCATCAGGCTCGTTTATGAGTTGTAAAATATGATGGTGTTCGTAATACCTCTTAGTAATTATGGAGTGTTAAGTGTTAGTAATACCTCTTAGTAACTGTGGGAGTGTTAAGTGTTGTATTAAAGTTTTGTCGAAATTCTTCTACAGTTTTTTTTTTGTCTTGTTTTTATCAATAGTTGAAATATAAGTGTTTGAAGTTGATTTTGGAACAATATTTGAAAAATTACTTCAGAAATTGTTCCAAAATTTTTAAGGATTTGTTTTCCAAAGGTATTGAATATTTTTAGTAACGAGCTGCTTTTACAGTTTTAAGGATAATTTTACATGCAAGTTTGTAATATTTAAATAAAATGCATCTCTATAACCCGTAAGGGAGAAGGGTTTCTAGGAAATTTAAAAGTTATTTTCAACTAATGAAAACTTTTTCTTTTTAAAAAAACTGTTTCTTTAAATACTTTTTTTAAATATATAAAGTCAGCCTATGTTCTACATTTTTTTAAAAATTTATTGGACATTGATCGTAAAAATAAATGCAAAAGCTATTTCATGTTGTTTGGTATCAAATTAATAATAATTAAAAAATTTTGAAATTTTTAAGATTCTTTTTAAATTTTAGCAAAAGTTTCTAAAGGTTTCACTAAAAGTTTAGAAACTGAAATTTTAGATATTGTTTTGCTTAAGCAAAAACTCGGTAACTTTGATTTTGGCAAAAAAACTTTGATTTCAGTCATTCACCATACTAAAGTTATTTAGTTTTTATTATGTTGTTTGAAATCTTTACACCTAAATCATGTTATTTAAGCAAAAATGTAACGTTGCATCACTTTAATTGTAAATCTTTTGTAAAATTGTAAAATTTTAAATATAAGCCTAGCAGCAAACGGTTGAATTTTTGTCAATTATTTAAAATCAAATTTTTAAAATGAATCAGTAACAACATCCTTATAGCTAATATATAATTTTAAATGAGTTGCAACAGCGGTAGCCATTTAATAAAAATTTTATATGCATTAAAATGTCAGAAAAAGTATTGTGGAAAAATATATGTATATATATTTATAGGTATATAAAGATTATCAGCATAACCTATAAACTCGAAATTAAAATAATCTTCGTCTCACTAAATATTTGTTTGTGAGTGGTTTATTATGTAAAAAATTCATTTTTTATTTGTATTTTATTTAATACTTTTTTATATTTATGGTTATATATTATTATTTTAGATTTTATTGCAAAAAACTTTTCAAAAAAGATTTTGATTTTGATTTTTTGATTTTTTTTAAAGTTTTTATAATCTATAATTTATAGATTATAAATTTTCAAAACTGGTAATTATTAGTTTCAAAACTTGTTTTGAGAACCAGATTGACATTGAATAATATTAGGGAACTGTTAAGGAAGCTCGTATAGAGAAAAATTTTTTTATTTAGTTTGATGTAAAGTTTATTATACTTCCAAAAAATATATTTTGCATAAAATACTTGCTAAAAAAACTTCTATAAAACTTTTTATAGGTAAGTATAATTTTTTAATTTTTTTTTTTTTTTTTTCAATTTCCTAAAATTTGTTCAATGCTTTCATAATTTTTTGATTTTATTCTTTTTTTGAATACTCGAAACCTGATCTCATAATAATAATGATAATGATAATGATAATAATAATAATAATAGATAAAAAAACAGTGTTTTAAATTTTTTCAGTTTTTATATATATATATATATATATATATATATATATATATATATATATATATATATATATATATATATATATATATATATATATATATATATATATATATATATATATATATATATATATATATATATATATATATATATATATATATGGTATATGCGAGCATAAAAGGAAAGCTTTAGGATTATGCGTATTTTCTTGCATGCTTTTTAGCAATATAGTTTCTTTGTACTAATTACTTTTTTTTTTTTTATCTTAACCAATACAAAAACAAAAAGTTAAAGCTTTAGGACCGATGATTTATATTTTATAGAGTCTTTAGAATAACGTTTTAATTTATATAGTGTTACGTTTTTTAATATTTGTTGTTTTATATTAACGACATAGACTAAGGGGCTTGGTGATAAAACCAACTTTGTCTTTTTCTTGCCTCTGCTATTTGTATTTATATTATTGTTTTCGACTTGAATAAATTTATATCGCAAAAAAAAAAAAAAAATAGCACGAAGTACAAAAAATAATTTTGTTGTTAAGTAATAACAACCTTTTACTTTTTGTATTAAAAACTCTTTTAATATTTATCATTTTCATATAAAAATTTTTTAATTTATTTTATTATGCTAGAATTTGCTGCCACTTAAATGCCACTCTATTTAGCAACCAAGGGTGGCCGTTGTCCCGGTTTTTTCTGAAAGAACGCAAAGCTAAACTCATTAATTCTTTTTTGTGTGTGTGTGTTCTTTTATGGAAAAAAAAACGGAACAATCCTACCTATACCTAAATTTGGTATTAATTGAAGATTACTATTTATTCTTGGATATTATAAGAAATGTGTGTATTTAATGAAAATATTTTGTAAGCTTGTTGAATATGAGTTAAAATAAAAACATGTTTGTGTAAAGTTTTTGTTTCTGTACAAAAATTATTTATTTTTATAAGTTAATTATATACTTATGAGTTGTTAATCTAATTAATTTGATTGTTTGATTAATAAAACCGTATGTTTTTAATTTTTTTTTTTTTTTTTAATATTTTAAAAATGTTATATCTATATTTTTAGCCTTTATAATGCAGTACAATGTTGTCAAGATATGAAGCCGACCTATAACAAGAACTATTTTTGTAGCTTACTTTTTATTTCTTCTCTAACAATTGTAGTAATGCAATACTATTATCCTGCTCGTAAGTCATCGAAATATTCTTTCACTGTTTATAAAAATAGAAAAATTGACGGCACTTCAAATATCATTGAAACTCACTCAAATTACGAGGAATGTATTAATTCTTGTTATAACAAAAAAGAGAAATGCAAATCAATAGACGTCAAAATTGAGGATAAAAATACATTAACTTGTCGATTTTTTGAAGATGATTTTCCAAAAACAAAGCAAGCTGAAGGGTTTCTTAATATTTTAACAAAACCGGTAAATGTATAATCCATTTTTAAAGTTAGTTGTAAATAAATTTTTGTTAATTGTTTTTGTATATTTTAGCCGAATTGTTCTCTAAGTTGCAGTGCAACAATGAACCCATGTGGAAAATGTGACTGCAAACCATCTTGTTCTGCAAGAAATCAACGACAACATATATGTAACTGTTCAAACGGTAAAATGCTAAATTTTCAATGTTTTTAATGTTTTGTTTAGACCCAAAAGTTGAAATAGTGTTTACCGTTTTAATCTTACTGTATGATTAGTTTCACAGATGGAAGCTTGTTGTGGAATCTTTAAATAATTGTTTTACCTTTTGCTATTTGGGGTAAAATTGATACATGTTGATAAAAACAATAACTAATTATATAATAATAAACTCTAAAACAAAAATAATAAGCAAATATTTAAACAAGAAAAACAAAAGTCTTATAAATCATTAGACAAAATTATATATGTATATAATATATGCATATATAATTTTGTTTAATGATCTAGGATGTTGATACCCTGAAAATATTTCCAAGGATTGCAATAAACAAGTAGTCTAAATTATCCTGGGGAGGGAGGGAGAGGGGAAGTTCGTTTTTGATATATATATATATATATATATATATATATATATATATATATATATATATATATATATATATATATATATATATATATATATATATATATACATATATATATATACATATATATATATATATATATATAAATATATATATAAATATATATATATACATATATATATATATACACATATATATATATATATATATATATATATATATATATATATATATATATATATATATATATATATATATATATATATATATATATATATACATATATATAAGATTTTTTCTAATTTACTTTAGATTGCATTGACATTCTACAGGTTAAATCAGATTTTTAAATAAACCTGTGAAAGATGTTAACAATTGGGATTGACCTGGAAATGTTTTTAAACTTTATAAAAGACTTACAAATGAAAATTTTATGATATTTATATTTACAAATGAAAATTTTATGATAATTAAGAAAGAAATATATATCTGAAGAAATTCATTAAAATACCTTGCATACATTAGGATTTATAAAGGCATTGTGCAACTTTTAAGTTTGTAGTCATTAACTAATCACTCCAATTGTTCAAAAAAGTGCTGATCTGAACTATTACTAGATATTTTGTTTTTAGATTACTTGTTCATTGCAATCCTCGGAAATATTTTTAGGTTATCAACATGCAGCTGTTCAAGATTTTTTTTCAGGAATAGACGATTTTGTCTCTCCACTTTGAAACCCTTGTCATCGACCATGTTAGCAACTTTAACTACCAGTAAATTATGGTCATCTCAAAAAAATAACTAAGACTTAACACAATCTTTCAAGTTTTTAAAAAGAATCTTTTCAAAGGTTGTTGGGGATAGTTATTTTATTACAATGAATGAATAAAATAAATGAATAGTTCGTCATTATTAATTCATCTTTAAAAATTTAAAGATGAAAAAATTAAATCATCTTTCAAAAGGTTTTATTCTTATTTGTACGCGTTTATTTAAACATAAGTTATTATTAATTAAATTGACAATTTCACTTGAAATTCTTGTAAAATTTAACGTAACAGTTATTTTAGACAAATTAAATTAATTTATAAACCCAATATAAATAAATATTAAAATACTTTTCTTTTGTTTTGAAGAATGCCTCCCCAAACCTAAGCCCTAAGCAGATGTATGTACACTTCACTGTGTCTATCCCTATTTAATTTAGTCGATGTAAGTACACTCCATATTGCCTTTCCCTATTTAAGTTTGTATACTCCACTGCGAAATCAGTTGCTTTATGTATGCATTGATGCACTTATTTTATGAAAATTTGCACTTGAAAAGATGCACTTATTTTATGAAATTTTGAAAGATGAAAATAAATAAACATAGCTATAAATAAACAACAACAGTAGATAAAAAACATAAAACTATTTAGTAATAAAACATTACAATTAAAAATTAAAAATCTTCCCAATACAGGTTTGAACCCGCAGCCTTGATAGTTGCGCCTCAAAAGAAGCTTTTAACACTTATTTCACTACATCAATATGATAACGATGTGAAAAACTAAAGTATATAACCATTTTTTGCGTGCAAATAAGATTTCTATTATGTAAACCTTATTTGTACGCGCGTACAAATAATAACTTTGAATATTTTTATGTATTACATTATTTTGTCCATCTTTAAAAAATGTTCAAGCAATTTTAACTTATTTATCTACATCAACATCTACATCTATATCTCATCTACATCAACATCTACAACTTTTCCAAAACGTCTTAAAATGCTTTCTAAGAAGAGTTTTTGATAAGAAAAATAGCAGAAATTTGTTGTTAAAACGTTTTTTTAAAACTAATGAATTTTATGAATTTTTTCATTATATTTATTCAATAAAATTTGTAGACATTTAAATAATTTTGTATTGTGAAAAAATTAACTTTTTTTAGCTTTAGACGTTTTGAAAAAAAGTTGTAGAGTTTTACTTGTGATAAGAACTCAGCTTCATCAAACTTTGATAACATTCACAATCTTGAGCACTGATGTTAACTTAAAATGTTTGTGTATAACATTTTAAGTTAACATATTTTTCTTTATTTACTTACATAATTAATATAAAAATATAATATATAAAATATATAAAACTAGTATATATATTTATGTAAGTTCAGGCCCGGCAGAAAACGGGTACAATTGGTAATTTTCACCCAGGCGCCAGGGCGTTGAAGGTGCCAAATTTTCATTGAATACTTATTTTTTTCCTACGAATATAAAATATATATTTGTAAGAATAATTATTAAAGAGTTTTTATACTTATTTTATGTAAGAAAAGTATATATTAATATAAAATAAAAACTAAAATAACTCAAAAAATCTTTTTTTAAATTTTCTTAAACTTATATTTATGTTAAATTTATTTATTTAGTGTTATTTTTAAAATTGTTTAATTGATTAAAAACAAACAATACATGTGAAATTTAATGATTTTTTAGACAAATTTTTAGAAAAAAGGTTACCATTAATTTATCTTGAAACTACTACTTTCAAAAACAATACTTAACAATACTTCTAAACAATGTCAATGATTGGTTAGCACTAACCAAATGAATGATATGTTGATCTATTTGTTTAAAAAAATACTTACAACTGATTTACGCATACTGTAGAGAAGTTAAAAGTAGAAACGGGCATACTATTTCCGCGCTCTTAAACTAAAAGAGTTTCTTTTAAAGTAAACAAAACTTTGTGATATATTTTTTAAAATAAATTAAACCATTTGCAGAAGTGTATCATTCTTTACGAAGGGCATATACATTTCATAAGCACATGGTAAACTTTGCACGATAGCAGTGTAGTTTGATAACTATTTGAATTAGATTTTAAAGTTTTTGTTTTTCTGATAAAAAAAAAAGCTAATAACAAGGAATATAGACGGGAATGGCTTTTAATTGTTAAGAGACTCTATAATGATTTGGTTGTAAACCTTTTGCTCATAAACCTACATATCTCATTTTATTGAGGACTCAATAAAATGAGATGATGTAGATTAATTGAGTGATGATGTAAATTTATTGAGTGACTGGCAAAACATTGTTAGCACTCAATAAACCTAAAGCATTTTTCAACCACGAAAAAGTCAGCTTGACCGAGACTGCCTGCTAACTTATCTCAATACGAGACAAGGTCAAGAATTACAGCATGTATTTGATCGACAGATAAAGGAAGACTGTGAGTATTAAGAACATGTGCTGGAGCTAGTCATTGTAGTCATTCGTACACTAGCTGAGTAAGAACTTGCTTTTCGTGGTACCAAAGAGTAGTTTAGTTCTTTCAAAAATTGAAATTATTTGGGTCTTCTGGATCAAATTGTCTAATAAACTTATTAGCCATTTTTAGCAGTCATATGGTAATTTTCGCAAAGGAAACTTGATAGCACCTGTATGGTATTTTTTGCAAAGGAAACTTCCTATCTTTCAAAAACAATTTACTTAGAACTTTTTGAGCTAATTGAGTAAAAAGTTCATTCAAGCATTATCAACGAAGTCAGTTCCTCTGGCCACTTCAGTCTTTTTGTTGATTCAACACCAGATCTGTCACATATGGATCAGTTATCTGATGTTGTTTAGCACATTAAGGATGGTCAACCAAAAGAACGTTTCTAGCATTTGTAGAACTGAAAGAACATTCAGTGAAAGCAATCATAATCATATTTTGAAATAATTGTGTGATGTCTGCAAAATAAATTATAGTAAGTACAGGACAATGTATGACAATGCAGCTAATATGTCAGCAGGGGCAGATCCAGCATTATTTGGTATTTGAGAAAGCTAACTTCCAAATATGGACAAACTCCAAACATTTAAATATTTATACTTATGTCAAATAAGGATGCATTGCAAACATTAAAAACTCTAAAACAAAAAAAAAACCCAAATTTTTGACCCTCCTCCCTGCCCCAAACATGAGAGCAAAAGTTAATAAAATATTATTTGTATTATTCTCAACTAAACTTAGATTCAAAGATCAAAAAAATGCTGGATCCGCCTCTGTATATTAAGAAGTTACAAAAGAACTCCGAAATCATTTGGAAAAAAAACTAACTTGCTATTAATGTCCCTCGTGCAGCACACTCTTTGAACTTAGTTTATCGTTGTGCAGTTGACTGTTGTGATATAGCAGTTAACTTTTTTCTACATAATACAGTAGCTTTATATGTTTTTCCTGCATCAACAGGCCCTTGGAAAATATTTAAAGAGTGTCTTTAATGTGAAACCACTTTCAGATACTAGGCAAAAATCACATAATGTTGCAACTAATGCTGATTTAATGTATTTTTTTTATCAAATTCTTACTGATTTGGAGAATGTTTCCACATTGCTAACAAAATGCAAGAGTTAGAATTTGTATTCATGTCTTATACGTGGGATGAAATCTAAAAGAATTTTCATAGAACAAGTTAGGCCCTTCAAAAAGAGGATGTCAATCTTAAAACATGTGCAGACCTGTATATGCCACTAGCAGACAAACTACGCAACATGTGAATAAAATTTGAAAGGGTTGAGACACTTTTAAAGAACATGCTACCTGAGGTCGACTATAAGGAAAGTTAAAAAA